CAGGGAGGGGCTTCCTGCTCAAATGCCAGACAGTGGTAGTCTACCCGTGTCTCCTCCTCTGCTCAGTCCTGGAGGAAGCTCTCTGAGGGGCACCTCACCTGAGCCAGGTTCAGTGTGTAGCACAGGGGGCTACCTCCTGTAGCTGCCAGAGTTTCTCATAGTCTTTTTGACCACAAGTTCTAAGGAGGAAACAGTTTACCTCATATTTCTCTCCTTTAAGATGGAGAACAAATCTGCTCTTCTCCAACTCTGTGCCCCTCTCTTCCCAGAACATTCCACAAAACAATCTCAATCTCTCTCTTTCTCTCTCTCACTTCCCCAAAGCTATGCATTTTAGGAATTTGTGCCTCAAAAAATAAGGGCTAAATAAATGTCAGCTATTAGTATTATATATTAAAATGTAAATACGGCATATGTTTTTAAATAATAAGTCATTTGAGAAATCTCATCTTATTGAAGTTGTACTTTTTATCTAAAATGGGATCTCTTTAAATCAATTGAAATAAGAAACCAACAAATTGCCTGCTGGTGTGGATGATGGGACCTCAACCCACCTGGTAAACTAACCTTGTTGGGGAAAGCTTTTACCATATATAGTTATATTTAAAGGCACAGGATGTGATCCAATGCCTGTCTAAACTCATATGATTACAAACCCTGTCATAAATGTAGTTCACATTTGTAACTTTTAAGGTTTTCAAATAACACTGTGAGGTAGGTAGTACAAGTCATCTCCATTTAACAGATGAGGAAAATGATTCTTTAAGACACTAGATAGTGCAATTAGAGTGCTGGACTTGGGAGTTTTTACATTCTGAGTTTAAATCTTGCCTAAGTCTTTTACTGGCTGTATCATCATAAGCAAGTCATTTTATATCTCCCAGACTGTTTCCTCATCTGTAAAATGAGGATAATATTAGTGCTTATTTTGCCTTGCACAAAATTAATGAAATATATGAAAAGTGTTTCGTAAACTTTAAAACACCATGTACATGCTAGTTATTACCATGAAATGACTTGCCCATGATCACTGGGCCAATAAGTATCACAGGTACATTTTTGAATCCTGGCCTCTTGATTCCAGATTCAGTATCCTTTCATCCATGCCATTCTATCCTCCCAATGCAACTTCTACCATATCTATTTGTTTCTTCTTGGTCCTAAAACATCATTAGATTTTTTCTAAAATAATAGCTCTTCCAAAATCAAATACATATTTTAAGTACTCTCAAAACTTCACTTTTCTTAAAAATTTAGCAAATTTTCAATAATAAATGAGCCCATCTGATTTTTCTTCTCTATTACTCACTGTCTCTTTTTCTTGCCTGTAGGCTTTAGCTAAACCAAAATCAGAACAAAGGGAATCAGGAAGTAAAGGGCAGAGTCTTACAACAGTGTTTTATGAGTCTATAAAATATATCCCTTCTGCTGGAAACCACTATAGATAAGAAACCTCTAATCTATGGTGTTATTCACAAATAAATAGGTGATGTGCCTGAGCTGTGGTGTGCAATAAATCTAGAAATATAAATCTAGAAATGTAAATGTATATCAGATGTAGAACATGTATATGTATATATACATATATATGTCCATATATACACACATATGCATATATGCATGTACATAATAGACACAATTGGATGCCTCTTGAATAATTGCCAATGAGGATATAAAATTTACATATTCATGTGCAAAAGGATTAACAGCCATTCTGGGTAATTTTTGGCCCAGAGCCCATGTGAGAATGTGAAAATCTTGTAATTAGAATAAATTAAACAGCCCAGTTAATTGTATAAGATAGATGAAAATTTTAAAAGACCTCATAACTCTTTGCTCCCCTGAACATACTTTGTACAGTCCTACTTTTATATCTTTGCTCGTGTCATTATCCCCCTCAGAAATGTCCTACCCACTTCTTGTATTTATTCTTTTTAAAATCAATTTTATTGATATCTTTTCCTTTTATATCACCTACATTTCCCAATGTGTCCCTCATTCTCCCCTCTCAGAGTGCCCATCTGCTATAACAACACAAAAGAGAAATAAAACAGTTCCATACCCATAGTCTCTTCACTTCTGTAAAGGAGTTGGGGAAAAGGGGTGTTTTCTTCTATTCCTTCTTTGGAGCCAGGCTTGGCCAAATGAGATAATATTTGGTAAGGGCTTAGCACAGAGCCTGGCACAAAGTGGGCACTTAATAAATCCTCATACTTTTTCCCCTCCCTTCATTATAACTTTCAAGTATTTGGTTTGTATTTTTTATTGTTTTGTTCCTTGGGAGCACAGCCTGTTACTTGCATTATATTTGTATTTTCAGTACACATAATACTGTTATTCCTTCCATATCTCAGGTGTTAGGGTGTGCCACTGTGCCCCCATGATCTGGAAAATCTGAGTAAAATTTCTGACCCTCCCTTCATACCAGACAAGAAGTCTTTTTTTCTTTTTTCTTATGGGGTGTTTACAGTACCACAGTACCTTATTGTAAAATTTGGGTTATGTATTTGGTCATAGGTTCTGTATCATCTGCTGGCCTTTGCATGTCATCTGTGGCTTTCACAAAACTCCCAAAAAATTCCCATTTAATTTCTTTTGCCAAACCCCAACATAGCAAAACTGCAATGGGGAAATGGGAAAAGTCATGATGTGGAAGGGATAACTGTAGAAGCTAATAAATACCTGCCGATTGACTGTTGTAATTGTCCTTTCCATTTACATTGTTTTAGCTATTGTGTATATTGTTTTTCTGCTTGTGCTGACTTCATTTAGCCTTCCCATGCATCTCTGTAACCATGTTCATTGTGCCTTAAGGTATTTGTACAAAAGGAAAGTGATGTCTCAGAACCAGATAGCGATTCCAAGAACTAGAAGTGGAGAGGAAGGAACAGGATCATACAGAGCTGAGCCAAGAACCATAAGCCCTGGGGCAACCAATGAAAGAAAGAAAGAAAGAAAGAAAGAAAGAAAGAAAGAAAGAAAGAAAGAAAGAAAGAAAGAAAGAAAGAAAGAAAGAAAGAAAGAAAGAAGAAGGAAGGAAGGAAGGAAGGAAGGAAGGAAGGAAGGAAGGAAGGAAGGAAGGAAGGAAGGAAGGAAGGAAGGAAGGAAGAAAAAAAGAAGGAAAGAAGGAAAGAAGGAAAGAAGGAAAGAGAAGGTAGGACTGAGCTATGTAAAGAAAGGAGACACCAAGGAGAATTCATTAGCTCTATAAGTATCTGAAAGCAGAAGACTCGGGATGATTCTACCAGTGTACCAACCAACTCAAAAACTGAGGGAAATAGTGGGAGGGGGACACACACAAAAAAAGGTCTGCTCTCTCTTCAACTTCTCCTGATGTCTATCAACAAATAGGTGTACGTGAGTACACTCTAATATAATTATATCAAAAGATATAAAAACAAAAGATATCAGTAATTTGAATGTCACCTCAACCATAAAGAGGCTGGGGTTAGCTAGAGATAAAAAGAAGTGTCATTTTAGGCAGTTGGGAATTTTTTCTGACTGGAGGCTCAGAGTGATTGTGGTTGAACTTACAACTTTTTACCTAAAACTCCCTAAAGCTGCATAGAAGCCAACCGTATGGCCCTTAGGAGCCATTATGTTCTCTGTAGGCTTAAAACAAGCTAACTATTATAATAGGGTGATATACATATAAAATACAGTGTAAATGGAAGGTAATCTCAGAAAGAAGGCACTAGCAATGGGTGTGGGGGGATGGAAGGTGGAGAGCTGAAAAGCCCTCTTGCAGAAGGTAGAAAGAAGGCCAGGGAAGCAAGAAGGGGGAGGGGTGGAGGTAGGGCATTCCAGGTTTGAGAGACAGCCAGTGCAAAAGGAGTAAGGAGGTAGAGTGTCAGATATGACCAACAGTAACTAGGCCAATGTAGCTGGATGGTAAAGAACGTGAAGAGGAATCCAGTGTAAGAAGAATGGAAAGGCAAGATGGGGCCAGGTTTTGAAGGGCTTTAAATGCCAATGGGGATTGTGGTAGAAAGAGTTTTGACTTAGGAAGGCCAATCAAACCCCCCTGCCAGTCATGGATCCTGTTGCCAACAGAAGCCTGAAAGTCTGAACCTGAACTCAATCACAGAAGTCACTACACTCCCAACTTCTTTTAGGAACCATTTATGACTCTTATTGATAAATGGATCCAAACCCTTTTGGAATCCAGAGACTGGGTTGTCTTTGTACCTTTGTATCCCTAGCTCTAGCAAAGTATCTTGCTCATAGTAAATGTATTATGTTTGTTGAAATTTTTTTTTTAACATTTCTCACCTCTACCAACTCTTAGGGGTAATTGGTTCCATAAGTTTCTCCTGGGGATGAGAGGTGGGAGTGTGAATTACTTCCTTTTATGACACTTACAAGTTTCAACTGGTTTCTCTGGTGAACAAGGAATCTGCTGAACAAGCCTGTGTTCACTTTAACCTGACCATTCACAGGACCTTAGGAGGTTATGAAGTCCACAGATGTCAAACACATACAACACTACCAAACAGTGCCTGAGCCAGATTAAAATGTGATTGGGAAGTATGTAACAAAATAAATAAAAATACAATCAAATATAGATAACATTACTTTTTAAAAATTAAGTCAATATGCAGCCCAGAGGGATCCTTATACACTGATTAATGGCCCCCACTTCTACTTGAGTTTAAAGCACCAAAGATCTAGTCCAACCCCTTCATTCTACAGATGACAAAACTGAGGCCTCCAAGAGATTAAATGACTTTTCCACAGTCACACAAGGAAGTAGGTAACAGAGCTGAGCTTTGAATTTACATTCTCAGAACTACAAATCCATCAGTCTTTCCCCTGCATCCCACTGCCTAGGTGTTTCAATCCTGAGCTTTCTCAGCCTCTACCTTTCTAGACTCAAGAATCTCAGTCTTTTTAGTATATCCTCACATGAGGCTTTGATGTCTCCCCAAATAAGCAAGAAACAAAAATCTGAAACACCTACTGTAAAACCCAAACTAATGTGCACTCGTCTGTGCTTTCAGCTGACAACAGCCTGTTCTGGGATGAGGATGAAGAAATTAACATTGGTAAGGAAATATATCTTTTTAATTTCCTTCCTTTCCCCCTACCAGTGGCTATTTCTCAGAGAACAAAGGATGGCCAAAAGGCAATAGAAAGACAAAGGAAGGTGGAATATGTTCTACTATTATTACTTATTCTCATTCTTATTGGGGAAAAAAAATTTTAGGGGCAGCTAGGTGGTGCGGTGGATAGAGCTTTGGCCTTGGAGTCAGGAGGACCTGAGTTCAAATTTGACCTCAGACACTTGACACTTACTAGCTGTGTAACCCTGGGCAAGTCACTTAACCTCGGCTGCCTCACCAAAAAAGCAAAAAAAAAAAAAGTTTAGTCTGGATCAATGAAAAATACAGAGTGAAACCTGGGAGAGAGGAGTGAGTTCTATTTAAAAGATAAAATAGTTTAAACAGAGTGGTGGTGTAAGAAGCCAGGTTCCTAAGGGTTGAGAAATGAGGACTGAGGAAATGGAGGCAAAGAATTAACTTTAAATGTGGCCTCACAATATGGTGATAGACTTGGAGCCAAAAGAGTTGGGTTCAAGTTCTCCCTCTGCCACTAACTCACAGACTGACCTTGGGCAAGTCACATTCCCTTCATCTAGAAAACAATTACCTTCTGATGATGTTGTACAGGACAAGCAGAAAAGGGAAAGGGCTTATGAAGAAGGAAATTTTGCAGATTTTGGAAATAATAAGGCTGCCAGGAATTGAATTGAAAAAAGGGGAAATTAGTATTACCCCAGGATTAACTGATAAAGAAGAAGAAAGCTTTGAGCTAGAAAAGGAGGAGGAGGAACATCTCAAGATGTTATGGTCTACTGTGTGATACAGTGTGTTCACAGATCCTTCAAAAGGTAGAAGAGCCAATTATTTGTAAACAATTATATATTTTCATTGAAGAAAAGCAGCTTTGTAAAATAATTTAAACATTATTTTGGTGACGGATTTTTGTTCTAGTTTGGTATCAGAAGAATCCATGATTAACCTGTTGAATTAGAAATGGTTCACTGCCCAAGGACTTCAAATATATGTTTTGTTCAGTGTCAACAATAAAATAAGAAAGTCTTCATAATCACACAATTGATCTGATGAGCTAAAAATGCTAATGAGACCGTAGGCTGAGTGAAAGAGGCATGTTGTCAGCATCAGGACAGTGATAATCTGGTTGTATTCTTCTCTGGTCAGACCACGTCTGGGGTCTTGACCCCATTTTAAAAAGAATGTTGATAAGCTGGAGAGCATCCTAGATGAGGGCAATGAAGATGACACTGGGTCACAAGTTCATGTCAGATGAGTATTGGCTGAAGGAACTAGGAATGCTTAGCCTAGAAAAAAAAAGTCTCAAGGAGAAGCATGTGTTCAGGTATTGGAAAGGAGCAGTTTGACTTATTCTGTTTGGCAGAAGTTGGAGCAGTGGGTGGGAGGTACACAGAGGTAAATTTAGACTTGATATAAAGAAAATGCCTTAACAAATTAGAATCCAAAGTGGAATGGGTTGCCTGGGGAGATTTTGGGGTTCCATTCACCAGAGGTTTTCAAGAAAAGACTAGATGAACACTTTACTCCTCTGGCGTATTGAAGATTCTCGTCTAGATATGAGTTAGACAAGATGGCGTCGAAGGTCCCTTTCAACTTTGAGCTTCTGTGGCTCAGAATTCAGTGCTCTTGCTATTATATGTAATAACTGCCTCTATCTCTGGATACCCAGGTAGTTGTATTGATGATTTCTAAGGTCCCTCTCTGCTGTAAAGGTTATAGTATCCAGAGCTGAAAAGAACCTTTTAGATCAAATCCAATTCAGTTGTTTCAGGTAGCCAATTGAAATAAAGCTATCAGCATGCAAATTACAAAAACATCTTGGACATTGGAACTGGGAGGGACCTCAGATATCATTTAGTTTTACCTCCTCCCCTCATATTACAGAGAAGGAAATGAAACTCAGAGAAGTAGGGCCATAATAGGCTATTCATTAACATGGGTTGCAAGAAGACCTTTGCAATAATGCATCATTAGCCTAACTTGAAAATACCACAATTTCATTTCTTTAAAGAAACATTCTATCATTTCTTGCTAATTTAGACCAAACACTCCCACAATGCTTCTGAATGGGGCAGGTCTGTTTAATTGTAATCTGAGAACTGGTAAACAGCAGTATCAATAGAGCTGCTCCCTCAGGAAGTCAGGACCAGTTGTTCTGACCTAATCCCTTGAAAGACCAAAGAGTAGTCAATTCTACTGACTATGCTTTTTTTCCTCACACAGGTCTTATTGTGGGGATCATCGTGGGATGTGTGTCAATAATTGTTTTGCTTGTGACACTGACTGTGGTCTTCTTGAAGAAGAAGAAGAAGAAGAAGAAGAAGAAGAAGAAGAAGAAGAAAAAGTAAGGAAAGTGCCATTGCACAGAGCTTTGGGGGATGGGGTGTGACTTGACTGTGGAGAGGAAGAGGGGAGGAAAGCATTCTAGGTATGCTCAGTGCTGGAGAAAAAAGTTATGGTATTTGTCATTTCAGTTGAAGAAATGAAAAACAAAATGAATTGTCCAAAATCATAAGCTTTTAAAAACAATCCCATATTTTAAAAAAGTGAGATGATTTTGCTCCATTCTGAAAACATGATATCCCACCTCACCCCTAAACTTCCAATGTCCCAAATCAACCTTTGATCCCTATGTTGCAAAATCTAATGTCATTTTATTCAAACAGGGATGTCACATGAATTATATGACTCTTAAGGTGTATCTTCTTGATTGTTACAGAACAGAGGTGAGATAGGAATGATAGCTAAAATGTCTTCCTGTCTTCTTCTCATCTTTCCTTTTCATTCTCATTGGCACCATCCCAGATCAGGCCCTCATCACCTCTGGCCTAGACTATTGCAAGAGCCTCCTAAGTAGCCTCTCCACCTCCATTCTTCCCCTTCTCTAATATACCCCTCACATCAGTGCCAAAATAGTTCTTCCAATGAATAGATCTGACCATGTCACCTCATTGATCAAAAAACTTCAATGGATCATTAGCTATTGGATAAGATACAGACTGCCTAGATTGGAATTTAAGGCCTTTCATAATCTTTCTTCCTGATTTTTTCTGTCTTTATTTCACACACACACACACACACACACACACACACACACACACACACACACAACACATGCTGTTTCCCCATTTTTTCTTACATTCCCTCATCTCCATGTCTCCATGCATTTGTCTACGATTAAGTTATCTGTCCTTCTCTTTGTATTGAAATTCTCTGCTTTCAAGGTCCAGCTCAGGTGCTATCTCTTAAGTGAAGCCTTCCCTGATTTCTCCAATTAAAAGTAATCCCCCATTCCTCAAATTTTCTCCAGATGCATTGTCTGGATCAAATGAAGCAATATGTGTAAAGCAGCACAATGTTGGCACATAATAGGGCTTTAATAAATGTTCTTTCTGTCCCCCGCCTTCCCTTCTGTATCTCTCCTTTTCTCCTATTCTTACATCTTGTATCACACTTATCTGTAAGTCTGTGACCTACTATTTTCTATTACTTTTCTATTAGACTACAAACTCCTTGAGAAAAGGAACTGTATCAATTTTTTTTGTATCCTCAGTTTCCAACACGGAGCCTTTGACTGGACCCAGAAACAATAGGATTTTGAGAGGATAAGAGCTTTAGCTCTATCCACATGCCTGTGAATCACCATTTATTATGGAAGAAATGGGAGGGGGTAGGCAGTAACTAGGGGACAAACACTCATGAGGGTGTACCTGCTTTTCAATGCCAAGCAGCCTGGGACTGAATCCAAGATTATAAGAGTCTTAGCATGCATTATACTTATTCATTTTCTCTAGTAATCAACTTGGAAATCCCAAGGTAAGATTGCTGAGTGCTACCACCTCTACACTCTGTGCCTCCCAAGCACTAGGGTCCAGAACCCTGGAAGCTTCTAAGAAGCAGGAGGGGTATCAGCATAACCCTTATCCTGATTTCTAGGCTAGATCTCAGTTAGTCTGAGATTTTAGGAGTAGAGATAGTCGATGAATTTCTGTGCTCCAAACTTAGACACACTTTCCAGATCACTATGCTATTTGCTATTGTCTAATGATGCCTCCGATTGTTCCCCATTATCTTGGCCTAAAGGTTCTAGTGCCTCTTGTACCACTTCTAGCCAAGTAATTAAACTTGAGCCTCAATTTACTCACCTGGAAAATAGGGATAATTTTACCTGCCCTGCTTATCTCACATACTTATTGAAAGGATCAAATGTGAAACTGTATGTGAAAACCCAGTACTGCTACACACATGTAAGTCATTATTATGTTTGATTCTTTAAAAAAAAAAAAGCCTGTGTAGCTGCTTGAAAATATGCGGTAAATAAGCTCATTATGCTTATCCAGCTATCATTTTGAGAAAGTAGGGAATCAATTTAAACCTGCATCTGATAATAGTTTCACTTTCCTTTCTGCATTGGCTAGTGCCAGGTTACATCTGGCTGAAGCACTCTCATTTTCTCATATGTGAAATATCTTCTATATGTATCTTTTTCTCTTGTCTGTTTAAAAAAGTAGCCTTAGTATTGAGATAATAATGCTCACAAAGATCTGTAAAAAGCCACCACTTAGCCTTTAATATTTGGTAATGCAGGGTTAGCCAAATACAAACATACTTTTTCATTTTAAAATAGAACCTTCTTTCTAGAAATGAAAATATTTTCCAAATAAGCACCTTGAGAACAAGGATTTCTCTGCCTCTTTTTATATCCTCAGGGATTAGCACAGTGCCTGACACAGTAGGGAGTTATTTAATAAATGCTAGTTGACTGACTGACGATTAGGAAGAGACTAGATGGAATGGACTAACTGAAGAGCCAGGGAAACTGACAAACTACCCCCTCCCCATAATTCATAGCACCCCTGTACCCACAATCCCTATGTGGAGATTTGCATAACAAATGGCTGCCTTTCATCTGTGCCCATTTTTGTTTTTTACGGAGCTTTCCAGGGTATACTCCCAGATGGCAGGGCGATAGTGACTAAGGATAGGTGAGGCTTAGAATAGCTGCACTAAAAAGCATAGGCTTCAAACCTGAACTTTATTTCTCTGAAGATCATCTACCTAACAAAACTCAGCCATCCAAAACACAAGGGAAAACTAAGAAGTAAGAAAAAAAAATTTTAAGAGGTCCCTTAAGTAGCCAAAATAGATATAATAGAGTCTATTCATAGAAGAGAAGTAAGCTCACTCAGAACTTATTTATTCTTATTTTAAATGCAAGTCTCATGAGCCCCCAGCAGATAAACAGCAGCTTTATCAAAGTGTCTTGTATAAGGTAGATGCTCTATAAAAATTTACAGAATCAAATTGAAGCAGTAAATTAGAAAGCCACTGGGGATAGGGAAAGGGATAGCTGGCAGTGTGTCCACAAAACTCTGACTCTCCATTTTAAAAAGGGTACAAAAATGCAGAAAGCCATCTGGGACTACAGTGTAGGGGCAAACAGCCTTACATAAGGCAATTGACTCCTGAGAGCACCACAGTACATGATGGGTATCCATAATGATGGCCCTGAATTATGAAGGTTAAATTATATTCAATGTAGTCTATTTAAGAAGGCAAAGAAGTGTGTCCTATACTTAAGAAACCTTTGTTGCCACTATGAATAAATTTTTTAAAAGATGTTGGCACTTGAAGACAAAAGCTTTGCCTCTCTAGAAAATTCATTGATGTGGAATCTTTCTTTACCTGAAGATGCTAAAGCAAAGATGCATCCAATCTTAAAGTGCTATAAAAATGTGAATGACAGCACGGGGTAGGGCGAAATGCACTGGATTTAGTTTCAGGAAAAATCTGGGTTTGAAGCCCATTTCTGTACCCACTGCGTAACCATAGACAAGTCACTAAACATCTTGTAATCTGTTGCCTTATCTATAAAATTAGCTGTAGCAGCTAAGTCAAGGGGTTGTGAAGATGAATGAGATTCAATATGTATAATGCTTTGCAAGTGTTAATGCTCTATATAAATGCCTATATTTATTATTGTACATGTTAGTTAAGAGGTGCACTGGATAGAATATGGTATCTGGAGGAAAGGTTAGTAAATGGTTAAAAAACAGCTCTCTGAAAAGAAAAATAAAACCATGGAGACAGGACACAGTTTTCAATTTAACCTGCAGTATTAACATTTCCACCATCATTTTCTCAAGTCTAGACAATTAATAAAACAATACATCAAGCCCCGAGCTGCAGCATTTGTTGTTTTTTCCAAGTATAAATGCTCACTTTGATAATTTAACAATGCGCTCTCACCAGCCAGTTAGAGCCGGCTCCATCACACCATTGACCTAGACTCAGGAAGAACAGGGTTCAAATTCAGCCTCAGACATTTGCTGCTGTGTGACTCTGGGCAAATCGCTTAACCTCTTTGTGCCTCCATTTCCTCATCTGTAAAATGGAGATAATAATAGCAACTACCTACCAGGGCCATTGTAAGGACAAAATGAGATGATGTCTGTAAAGTGTTTTGCAAACCTTACAGCCTATATAAACGTCAGATATTATTATACATACATACGATATTATCATATGTTTTAATACATGTATTATTACTGTTGCACTATCTGAAGCATTGGTGAGTTTTGAATCTCAGAAAAAAAGAATTCAAATAATCCCCTGAAGTAAAGGAATCAGAAATTCCCTGCTCTAATTCCTATTTGTTGACTTTACTTTCATCTAATCTGAAGTTGTTGTAATTGTTCTCATGTAATTTGTCTAGACTTAAGGAATGTCAAGTCTCCTCTTTAACATCTGTAAAGGAGATCTAGAACAAAGCATGGAAAGAACATTGGTGACAATTCAGTCCAAGGTAGCTCATTGTGCCTTGAGGTGACCTCCCCCATTCTTGAAACAAAGAGGCCAATAAATGGTAAGGAACAAGGAGATTGGTACTCTGATTAGATGACTATTGCCTAGAGTAGATTGGTGGGAATTCTCTTAAAAAATGACATCTGTCTGCCTTCATTCCAGCTACTTCATTAGGGATAAGAAAAGAGTCAATAAAAACCTTTGGTCATCAGTAGCAAAGTCAACTGCTGAGATGTGTGAAAGCAAAAGCGTATGATTGGAATGTTACTCCCTGCTTGCAGTTCATACATTTTCATAAATTTAACGAAAACTCCATTAGAAATGAAAGGAAGCAAATAATAGAGAATTGAACACAGCAGTCATGAGATTCAAACTCTGATGCTTTATTCATGCAAACATCCTCAGGAGGTGACTTTTTGTTAAACTCAGCCTTGCTTTATTGCTCCATTTGCTTTTTCCCACAAAATGCTTTTTTTGAAAGAGAGAGAGAGAGAGAGAGAGAGAAAGAGAGAGATTGAGAGGGGAGAAAGATTGAAAGAGAGAGAAAGACAGAGGGAAACAGGCAGAGAGAGATAAAGAGAGAGTAATTGATTGATTTCCTCTCCTGCATTTTAACAATATCCCCTCTTATGTGTGGAATAGGAGCACTGGCTCTGGAGTCATACTTTCTGGGTTCAAATCCACCTCTTTAACTTACTATCTGTATAGTCTTGGGCAAAACACTTTTCCCATTGCGCATCAGTTTTCTTCTCTGTAAAATGAGAAGAGTTGGACTAAATGAATTCTGAAATTTTCTTTCTATTCTAGATCTATGGTCTTATCTATGAACTTTTTTTTTTTGGGTGAGGCAATTGGGGTTAAGTGACTTGCCCAGAGTCACAAAGCTAGTAAGTGTCAAGTGTCTGAGGCTGGATTTGAACTCAGGTACTCCTGTCTCCAAGGCCAGAGCTTTATCCACTGCACCATCTAGCTGCATTCCTATCTATGAACTTTTGACTCCTCCTGAAGAAGATTCATCATCTTATTTTCTGTGTTATTTATTGGCTCTGGGGACATTTATGTAAAATGGCCAATATGATAGAGATTTGAACATTTTAAAAAGGTACCTCTAGCTACAAATGAAAATACGATGGGGCTATCAATATCATTGATCAATGGGTTATCTGTTTTTCCCCCCAAGGAAGAAGAGGCATGGGAAAGGAAAAGAAACACAGCAACTGAATGTTAAATTGACCTGAAACAAGAAGCAATTTGTATTCAGGCTAATCACATGTGAATATACAGCTCTTTCAAATTTTTATAAATGAGTGCCAGATTTGCTACAGAGAACATTTTTGCATATTGTATTTACTGAATCCTTGCTGATCACTTGGAATAACTGGACACATATGTTCTCTTTAAAACTATTTTTTCTAGCTTTTCCTTTGAAATGTGCATTGTAGTTTCCATCAGTCTTTCATGTGGTTGAGAAGTGCTGGACTTGGAGTCAGATATAGGTTCAGAAGTCCCAGCCTTACCGCTTCAGTTCAAAACATTTATTTTAAAAAGCATTTATTATGGGGTAGCTAGGTAGTGTGGTAGATAGAGCTCTGGTCTTGGGGTCAGGGGGACTTGAGTTCAAATCCAGATTCGGATACTTGACACTTAACTGTGTGACCCTGGGCAAGTCACTTAACCCCAATTGCTCACCAAAAAAAAAATCATTAAATACCTACTTGTGCACAGCTCACTAGGTGGTCTAAGACTTACCAGGTGTTGAGGATACAAAGGCAAAAAATAAACAGGCTTGTAGTCTCCTTGGGTGATACAAAATATCCACCAGTAGTTCTCAAACTACATAGCACAGTATCAATTGATCAACAAACATTTATTAAGCACTTCCTGAGTGCCAGGTACTGTGCTAAGTGAGGAGGCAACCAAATAGCAAAAGACAGCCCTTACCCTCAAGGAATTTACTAATGAGAGAGACAACATGCAAATAAACATATACAAAGCACGGTATATAGAGGATAAATAGGAAATAACCAACAGAGGGATTGGGGAAGGTTTCCTGTCGAAGGTGGGATTTTAGTTGAGACTTAAAAGGAAGCCAGGAAGGTCTACAGTCAGAGCCCAGGAGAGAGAGTACTCCAGGCATGGAAGACAGCCAGAGAAATGGCCAGACCTTAGAGTTGGAGTGTCTTGCCTTAAGAAATCATGGCACACAATGAGAGAATCAGGACAGTGTTCCTATTTAACACAGTGTAAGTACCATGCGGTTCAAGGCCCACTCAGTTAGTTACTGTGCACAGCCTTTTGATGACCACTAATATACACAGATAAGTAAACGCAAGGCATTTGAGGAGGGAAAGAACACTGATAACGGTGAACCTTGAGGGAACACAAAAGTTCTGACAGGCAGAAATGAAGAAGGAGCACATTATAGGTGTGGGGGATGACACTTGAAAGGGGAAGAATTGGAGTGGGGTAGCCAGGTGGCACCGTGAATAGAGAGCTGGGCCTGGAGTCAAGAGGACCTGATCAGGTTCAAACGTGACCCCCAATATTTACTAGCTGTGTGACCCTGGACAAGTAACTTAATCACTGCCTGCCTCAGTTTCCTCAAATGTAAAATGAGAATAATAGCACCTGTCCCCCAGGGTTGTTGTGAGATTCAAATGAGGTAATAATTGTAAAGTAGTTAGAACAGTATGTGGCATGTAGTAGGTACTGTATAAATGTTATGGAAACGAAAGAATATTGAGTTTCGGAAAGTTTTTCTCATTTAAGATTTCAATAGATATAGATGACAATTGTTAAAAGACAGGCCTTGAGTAATTGCCTAAGTACTATAGAAGTTCTTAGGAAAGATAGGTTGGGGTTATAAAACCTTTAACTTTGGAAAAGGCTTTTCAGAAGACGTGAAATTTGAGCTGGGCCTTCAGAAGGATTCTCGCATAACAGGAATTGTACTTCATAGACCATACGTGAGAAGAGGCCTAGAGGGGACATCCTCTGGGGTGAGAACTACCCAGCCAACTTCTAAGGACATGGGTGGATCACTGCTAATGATAAAGCAATAATGATACAATCCCTTTATTTGCCACTGAAAAGGAAAAGCAACTGATTCAGGTTTTAAAAAGGCCTACCCTCTGTCCATCCTCTGTCATTCCCTCTCTTCCTCTTGGCATGTCAGAACTCTTGAAAGCCTCTTCCTGGCGGCAGAAATGGCAAACTGCTGAAATGAGGCTGACCTCCCCATGCGCTAGCTTAGGGGTGCTTGAGAATGGGTTCCAGAGCCCTGGCTGCTGCTTTGAGTTTCTTTCCTGAGCATCGGTGTCTTACTGGTGAGCCTAAGATGGACATTTTGGTCTTCCAGGAAATCTTACCAGTTCAAAGGGTTGAAAACTGCTGGGTCTTTAGTGGATGGCAGCTGTACTTCAGGAAGACCCCCCTGCCAGTTCAGGAATGCTTCATGGAAAAGATAATCTGCAAGAGCATGTACCTGGTTATTTATATGTTTTCTCTGCCATTATAATGTATGTTCCTTGAGGGCAGGGAAAGATTTTTGCCTTTCTTTGTATCCCAAGTGCTAAGCATTAAATGCTTAATAAATGTTTGATGGAAGGGAAGGCAGATTGGGGGAAAGGGTATTCAGAACGCATGCTGTCTTGGGTTGGGGGAAGGGGAAAGATGAGAAGAAAATTTGGAACTCAGAATCTTGTGGAAGTGAATGTTGAAAACTAAAAATTAATTAATTAACTGAACATAAATAAATGTTTGACTGTCTCCTAGTCCCTTTCTAATAGACATGTTCTGGCCCCATTCTCTCAGGGCCAGGCTGCTATATCTCCCCATCAAGATTCTAGGAGACTCAGAGGGCTTGAAGTATCTCTTCTTATACAATGGCTTAAATTCCCAGAGGCCCTTCTCTCCATTTTTTGTGATCACTAACTGGCACCCAGTTCCATTTCAGTATTTAACATTGAGTGGCTTCTACAAAGTGATGCTTATTTCAAAGATATAGCAAGAATAAATGTATAAACATTTTTCCTAACACTCTGGGGGCATAATTCTTCCTATAGCACTGCAGTCTCTGAGGCAGTAGGTACAAAATTTAGTCGTTTGTACATAGCATTGGTCCTACTAAGTTCATGTCCAGATATGGTTGGTATGACTGCAAGATGAACCTGCATCTCAGCTGCTCCTGAGCTTGAATCCCAAAGGTCATTCCCAAAGGTTGCTCGAGCACTGATGCCATGTTGACTACAAACTGAAGTCTGGAAGGACGTACTCACATGGTTGTAGACTCAACTCCTTTCATTGCTTGCCAAGGTCACTCAAGGGCACTGAGGCAAAGATGTCATAGCTGAAACTAACAGGTCTTTTAAAATGGCTTTACAGCCAATCAGAGAGCCTCCATTTCAACACATGGTTAGTCAACCATAAGCATTTACACAATGCCTATAACTGTTCTAGTCTCTCTGAGGCACTTCTTTTATACATCATTATAATTCTCAAGGGGCAATGAAGAGATACATGAAACTTATGGGTAGGGAGCAGCATATTACCTATAAGAATTTATGTATGATGTCATTAGAAAGAAGAGAGATATGACTGAAAAAGGAGATGAGCTGAGTACTATGCTATTATAATGGCCAACCTTGACCCCAGATGAGAGATGAGGAAATGTATCTCCCTCCTTTTGTTGGAGACATGGGACTATGTATATGGAATGTTATCCCCACTGCTGGGTGTGATGAGTTTATAGGCTGATTTTGCTTTTGCTTTTATATGGAATACATATTTTTAAAATCAGTATTTTTTTCTTTATTACTAGGGAAGGGTCATTGGGTGGGGGAAGGAGCATAATCTGGGGAAAAAAAAACCTATGATATATAAATAAAAAAACAGTTAAACATTTTTTATAAATGTAAGTATTGGGTGGATGGGTGGTGAGTAAGGATGAAGGTCAGTCATGTAGTGAGAGCAAGGGATAAATGTCAGACAGTCTGTGTCCAACACTGTTATCTATAAGAAGTCAAGGGTTCTAGAGGAAAGTTCCCAGCATATTGGGTGGCCCCTTTATAGAGGATCTATGCGAAGACATGGATTAGAATATGTTATAACAGTTTTTGTTTTACTTTTAAGCTGGTGGGGAGAAGGGGAGGGAGAGAAAGTAAATTCTTATAAGTTGAAAAATAAAATAAGAAAGTGCAGATTAGTTATGCTCTGTACTATACTGCAAGAAGTACCCACATTGAGATCACCAATTCATAGAAATATTGAAATATTGTGGATTTAGTACCTTCTTAGATCCTGTGGGTGAAACCAAGCAGCATAAAATACTGTCCTTGCCTTCATGAAACTTCTAGTTGTTAGCATCTAGACTGTCACCTCTTAATACCTCAGTTTCAGGAGATGGTACAGTGTCTTGGGGTTGGGGGGGAGAGGAAAGGTGGTGTACTAGTCTCATACCTAGGAGTCCGCTACTATAATTTTGAGGAAATCAGGTGAGATCTGACCCCTCTTAGTCTTGGCTCTGCTTGCTGCTAACAGTATCACCTCAGGTGAGTCAGTTCATCTTTCTGTGCCTCCGTTTCCATATCTATCAAATGAAGTTAATAATACCCGCCCCTACTAGCTCTTTGGGTTGTTGTGAGGATCAAATGAAATGATTCATGTGATCAAGCTCTGAAAAAAAAAGTATTATTGATACATGAAACATTAGTATTATCAATTTTATTTTTATGAAAGATGGTGGAATCTCAGTTACCTTTGTTGGCATTATTTCATTTTCTCTACAAAAATCTAGTTTTAGGAGCTGGTGAGGGAACTATCAAATGTACAGTGGCTTTCAGAGAAAAGAAATGTACATCACTACTTTCCTTAGAGAGGTAGGGGCTGTGGGTGTGGTCATGCAGAGTGTCAGACCAAGTCATTATGTCAATTAGTTTTCCTTAAATGTTTTCCTTCTTTTTTGTTATAAGAGAAAGAATCCAGGTGGGTGACTAAATATACATCTGGAAATGACTCATGTAAAAAAGGCATCAATAAAAACTTTTTTTTCCAAAAGTTAACTTAAAAAAATTTAGGCTGAACTAAACCTCTCCTTGCATCTTATTTTCCCATATCCAATGCTTGCCTGTCCTCTCCTGACACATCATAAACCAAGCAAGAAAAAGGAAAAGTGACAAGTCTGAAAATTCATTTTTGATTAAGCAAGGTTATTTCCACCAAATCAAGAAGGCCATTTACTCTGTGCGTGTGTTCAAAATGCCATGCCACTACAATAAAATTAAATGAGAGGCTACAAAGTTCCACGAAAAGAACACTGGACTGGGAGGAGATCTGAGATCGAAGGTCTCCTCTTTCACTAATTACCTGCAGGACTGTCGCAAGTCAACTCATAAACTCGGTTAATTCGAGGGTTCTTAACCTTTTTTGTCTCATGGACCTCTTTGACAGTCTGCTGGCGGTATCAGAACAAGGGTTTTAAACAATGAAAGGAAATGCTGTATTTCAGTTAGGGGTTAGTGAAAACAAAAATGGAATTTATTTCCCATCTAAGTTCATGACCCTCTGAGATCTGTCTATAGACCCCAGATTAAGAACTTTTGCAAGTCTGAAGGCAGTTTCAAAAAGAGATCTCCAGATATTTGGCTGGCATGACCATACGGCCTCCCTAGGTCACTACCTGGAAAGACAATACAGGTTTGACTGGCTGTATGGTGCAGTGACTGCTATGCTGGATAAGGAGCTGAGGAGACCCAGCTTCAAATCCTGCCTGTGTGACCCTGGGAAAGTCATTTAATTTCTGGGAGCCAGAGTTTCCTCATCTTTAAAAACATGAATACTACCACCTAAAATACTTAAGTATCTACCTTCCAGAGAGTTTGTGAGGTTTCCATGAGACACATGTGTGAAGCTCCGTGATCCTTAAATTTCTGCATAAATGTCAGCTGTCATTATTATTACTTTTGGTGTGTTCTAGAAATTGCCATTTTTTACTTTTACAGTCACACCCAGGCTGCTAGTTCTGAAAATCAGCATCAGTCCATAGACTTGTTACCAGATTAGAGTGGTCAGACCTGGGGGGGAGGGAAGTTAATTAATACAGTATGTATCAATACAAATTAAACATATGCCTTACAAAACTTGTACTTCATCAGGCTGCTGATTCTTGTGGTGATCAGGTGATCCATCCTTCTTGCCCCAGTAAGTATGAAAAGGGTTGGGAAAATGTCTTGAAGGCTAGTCAAAATAAAATAAAACCCAGAAAAAGTTGACTGTCATTGAAGGTGGTTTAAAACGTGAACTGTTTGGTACGATAATTTCCTTTCTCTTAAAGTCATTTAGGGCATGGTAAATACAGATCGGTATTTGTTTCCATTTCCTCTGAAGGAAGGACTTGGGAAGGACTTTGAACTCCCAGGGGGTGCTCTGTGAGTTGTGGATAGGAATTGAGAATTTGTCCAATGAAGATTTAAGAACCTCTGCAGAAATAGTGATAGGGAAAGAAAAGCTACGCTACAAAATCATGAAATCAGAGGTAGAGAGACACTTTAGAGATGATCTAAACTTTCTTTGTGTCCTAGACCCCTTTGGCAGTCTGGTGAAGCCTATGGACCCCTTCTCAATAATATTTTTAGATAACTAAAGGGAATGTTAAATTTCAATCAGAAGATAGTGGACTATAAAGATGGAATTATTTTCCCATCCTAGTTCATGGATCCCCTGAAATCTATGCATGGATACCCTGGTGGTCTGTGGACCTCAGGTTAAGAATCTCTGATCTAGAAAAAACTCCCTCATTTTGCATATCAGAAAACTGAGGTTTGGAGAAAAGTGTCTCAGGTGCTCAATAAATAACTGCTGGATGGATGGATGGATGGATGGATGGATGAATACCAATTCTAAGGCTTTAGCAGACCTTAAACACACAGAGATACCATGGCAGCTCCTTTGTCCTAAAGGCCTACTCTCTATCTGTCACACCAGGTTATCTTTCCTGAGTTATTTACATACATTTCAACTTTTACCTTCATTTGGCTCCTCATTTTGATAATCTGTCATTAATTCCTGGGGCTTCATCCTCCTTTGCTCATTGGTGAAGATCTTTATTTCTCTGCCCCACTCTAGTTTTCACCACAATTGGTCCTTCCTCTCAACTCCTAAGTTGGGCAAATTTTTCCTGAAAAATTCCTCTTAGGAGAAGATCTAGCCCTGGCTATATGCTGGAATGCATTACCATCAGACATGAGAGCCAGTGTAGTAGTGCCACGGAAAGAGTGCATTTGGAGCCAGAAGACCTAAGTTCAGATCTGAGCTCTGCTATTTATTTGTGTGTGACCTTGGACAAGTCACCTTTCTTCTCTGACCTCACTTTCCTCATCTGTAAAATGAGAATGGGTTGGACTACATGATATTTAAAGTATCACCCAGTCCCAACTCTATGAAAAATCTTACACCATCATATCTGACAAGGAGATTGTTAGAGCTTCTTTCTTCTAGATCTGGAGTTCCAGGACTTCTCATGTCACTCTACTCTCCTGCATTTAAAGAGACACTAATTCTTTCAAGGAGAGGGTGAGGTAATGATGGTGGAGAGTCAGGGAAATGCCTGCTTTGCTTTAATAAAGGAGGCTGATTAAGCCAAAACCCTAGCATCCTGGAGTGTAAAATTCTAGATATACTTCTACTAGACACTCACATGAGAAATGAGAAATTACATTCTAGGAGTTAGGAAGACAGTCTCGTGAGCTAACTTAAGCCTTGTCTAGATATAATTTATGGTGCAGCTAGGTGGCACAGTGGATAGAATGCCAGGCCTGGAATCAGGAAGACTCATCTTCCTGAGTTCAAATCTGACATCAGATACTTATTAACTGTGTGACCCTGGGCAAGTCACTTAACCCTGTTTTCTCAGTTTCTTCATCTTTAAAATAAACTAGGGAAGGAAATGGCAAACCACTCCAGGATCTTTGCCAAGAAAACCCCAAATGGGTTCACAAAGAGCTGGACATGACTGAAACAACTGAACAACAACAAAGATAGAATTTATAGATTTAATGAGGAATGGATTTTTTTTTAATTCAATCAAGTTTCAACTCTTGTAGCAAACTTTCTATGGAACATAAGGTAGGCAGTGTGGTACTGTGGTAAGAGAACAGGTTTGTGAGGAAGAAGGCTTGGGTTCTAGTCTTAGCCTCGCCACTGGCTGACTTTATGACTTTGGGCAAATCAATTTGCTTCTCAGGGGATATTTGAGTAGTTCACAGAAGATTCTTTCTTTTAATTCAATCAATCAACAAGCATTTACTTAGCACTTACTGTGAGCCAGGCCTGGTGTTAAGTGCTGAGAAAAATCTATGCTACCATATCTTTTGCCTAGTCTTCAAGTCCTGTTAACCACTCACCTGAATCACTACTTACTTACAACTACCTATGGGGAAAGAGTTTATAGCTTCTAATCTGTCTTTGGTTACCTAGAATCCAACTAGTTAGGAAAGAGGCTTACGCTACCCAAATTCACACAAAACCGATTTGCATCATAAGTTTAATTTGATAACCTACAACAAAAACTATAGTTGTCAAGCAAACTAAATTTGGGTGTTTCTTCTCTTCCTAGTAAGAAGCTAAGTTATGCTGGGAATACTCCTCAGACTTCACAAAGTATTTTGTATTTATAACTCTCTAATACACTCACAATTTATTCATTTGTTCAAAAAACATTAATGACTGATCTATGTGTAAGAAAGATAATTCTCTGTAGTGTGAACAATGCCTTTTCTTTGAGAGGAATGTTTATGCTGTATATGTCTCCCATATGCATGTTGTCTCCCATTAGAATGTCAGCTCCTTGAGGGTAGGCACCATGTTTTTTCCTTTCTTTGAATTCCCAATGGTTAGCATAGCGGCACATAGTAAGTGCTTAATAAATGCTCTCTTACTGACTGATTGGCAGTAGTATGGAAGATGTATTGAGAGAGAAAGGATTGTTGTGCCTTATAACAAATGTTTTGCCTTATACCAAAATTGGTATTGTATCTTTTTATAAGACTCTAAATTCCTTGAGGACAGAGATTGTCTTCATCTGACCTTTATATTGCTCCCAGCTTATCATACTTAATAACTGTTTGTTGTATTGGGGTGAGTATATAGAATTAGGACCAAAGGAGTTGCCAGTAGGGAAAGGTCTACCTGAGCCAACATCTTTCCCATCCTTTAAAAGAAACTCACTGTTTACATTTCATTCCAAAATTCCATAGTGCGTGCTCCCCTTTGCATTGTGGTACATGATACTAACAGTGGCTTGAGGACTACATTTGGAATCAGAGGACTTGTGTTCAAATTCTGACCTTGTCATTATCTTGTATGACCTTAGGCAAATTATTTAACTTATGTGCCTCTGTTTCCTTCTGTCAAACATGAGAGGTTTGAGTTAGATGGCTTCTAAGGGCAATTCCAGTTCTAAATCTATATCCTATCACACTTGACACTTTGGCCTGTGATTGGCACTGGAATCAATGCCCAATGTGCCCAACTTCATATACTTTCTACATCTGTGTCTATACTGTCTGCTAATAAATGATGTTTGAATAATTAACCTGAGGCACTAAATGAACTTCAGTCATCAAATAATGACTCACACAGTCAAGATCTCATTGAATAGTAATAAGATCTACAGGAAATGAGGTATAGAAATCTATCCTGCCCTACAGGAAAATTGAAGGGGAAGGGGATAAGAGAAGGGGGGGGAGAGATAGAAGGAAGGCTGGATTAGGGAAGGGGTATTCAGAATGCATGCCATCTTGGGGTGGGGGAGGGATGAGATGGGGAGGAAATTTGGAACTCAAAATCTTGTGGAAGTGAATGTTGAAAAGTAAAAATAAATTAATTAATTTTAATAAATAAAAGATCTCATTGAATGATAGAACTGAACTTTAGAGATCATACAATCCAACCTTTATTTTACAAAAATGGAAATTGAGGTCCAGAAACGATGACTTGCCTAAGGTGACATATTGAACGAATTCCAGGACTAAAACCTAAATTTCCTGGAAGGAAAGTAAGTAGACTCATATTTTAGAAACATTTTTTTAAACAAAGGTCAAAACAAGAGGATTTGTTTTTGTAACCCAGAGTTAACTAAAACTTTGTACCCCCTTCCCGATCAACTTCCCCCATATATCACAGTAAACCTCTTTATAAACATGAGCTATGATGATGAGTACAAACCCAGTTAATCCACATTTTGCTGTACATACAGTAATGTGAACTAACAGCTAATAAAGTGCTTGCCTAAATAAAGAAGACTCATTTATAATTAACATATTGCTCGATAATATAGGAACAGATGCTGCTAAGGTCCTAGAAAAGAGCTGATTCTCTAAAATTGGCTAAATACTCCTTCTGCAATTTTGTTTACACTATCAGTTTGCTTACCACATTCTTTTTTAGGAGTTGGTGCAAAAGCAAACTTCAGTCTAGATCATACCCAAATTCTATGGAATTCTGAATTCGTGGAATAAAAGTCAATGAGTCTTCACCACTGAATAAATCAGGTAGCTAGTTCTGCCCTCTAATGGTCAGCATCAGTAACCACTAGTTAACCGGAGAACAGAGTAAACAAGACTAGGAACACAGTGTTAAAGCCGAGAAGGACCTTCAAAGCCATCTGGCCCAATGGTCTCATTTTACTTGCTTGATGTCTGAGAGCAGGATAAAGACTAGAAGAACCCAGGTTTCCTGACTGCTAATGTGTGCTCATTCCACTGAATTCCCAACACTATTAACACTATAGAGAACATTAGGTTGAGCATATTGGGAGACTCTTAATCTAACAGAGATCAACATAGATGTGGTTAAATGCTTCTGGAAAATGTAAATTTCCTTTGTAGAGGTTTTATTTATATAAGCAAACTGTGAAACATTCTCCACTTTAAACTTTAAAGTCTCAGCTGTTTGGCTCTAAAGGCAGATGGATGTTTTGATGTTGTTTTTTATGTCTTTTCCTGCTATTGTTCTTTAGGTGACAATGGTATTAAATTGCATTTTTTTTCCTGCTACTTACAGTTTCAACTAGCCTCATTAGAATTTTCTTGATGACTTAATTGCAACACATGTTTGCAATTATCCCTCTGATTCCATAAATACATTGATTATTAGTGTTGATGGCTTTAAAAATTATAATCACAACATGCTAATTTCCCTTCTTCTTTTCCCTTAAAAGGTGTAGTGGGCTGGGCCGGATAAATGCAGGTGCCTTGATAATTTAGATTTTATATTGGAGAAATGAGACACTAATACAAGGGTTCTTAAGCATTTTTGTATCATGGACCCCTTTGGCAATCTGGTAAAACCTATGGACTCCTCGGAATAATATTCTTAAATGCTTAAAAAATAAAATACATAAGAAAATAAAGGAACCCTATTATATTGAAATACAGTAACCAAAATATCTTTTAAAAAAAAAGTTCATGGACCCCAGGTCCATTAGTGGCTCATTTAATAATTAATTTTTTTAAAAAGGGTTAACTTAAGGAGATTCAACAGGGACATAGCACTCAGCCCAAGTAGACACTTCCCCCTGATCTCCACGTGGAAATGTATATGGTTAGCAGGGCAGGGTGTGGTGATTCCGGAGTCTTTGGGACGTGTGCCAAGTCAGAAGGGCTCCAACTCCATGTAGGCTGGCCCTTTTAATGCCTTAGGTGAACAGGAAGCCTCATCTTTACTGTTTGAGGACACCAGCAGGCCAAGTCAATAGCTAGGCAGGTGGTTTGAGACTTAGCCTCCTGGGTCAATCAAGTCCTGGGGAGACAGCTTCCTTCAGTTACAGGAGAAGAATCAGACTAAGTTTGTGAGGGTGGCCTTACCTATTACATAGAGTAAACTTGCATGTCTCTGAAGGCTTGTAGGTTTAAAGGAAAAAATCCATAGAGATCTTCTGGTCCAACTTTTAAATTTTACAGATGAAGAAACTGAGGCTTGGGGAAGGAAGTTAATTCACTTGCTCTAGGTCCAATTTTTAGTAGCAGATTGGGGCTTCAATCCTAGCGTCTCTGACACCCAAACCCGAGTTCATTCAATTGTACCATGCTGCCTCTGTAAGTAGAAAACAGTTTTACCTCCTTATGTATGAAGCACCATGCTTCCCCCTGACACAGGCAAGACCAGTGCTTCACGTACCTCTTCGGTGGTAGGGCTAGATAATTTACTTGTGGTGCATTATCTGTTAAAATCACCAGGTGGCCTTCCAAGTTTGAGCTATTCCGAACAATTCACTCCCACTATGTATGCAGAGGCAGCTCCAAGGTCTAGTCTTGGGAATTTGCTCACAATCATCTGAGTATTCTTAGAAAACAATCCTGTAGTTGCTTTCTTGGGTTTTTGCCTGAGATTTTTATCTAAGGGTGTGATTTAATACCATTATAATTCATAGCTAGTTAGGCCCAACCCCCCATTTGTGCAAGTTTTTAATATCTTTCCCAACCTTGCAAAAGGATCATTCATTTACATGAGTTAAGTGGCCTTTTTACTACAGGAGAAAGAAAATTAACAATGTCAGTTTTAAAACTCCAGAGTAGCAGGTTGGTCTGAAATCTCAACTTCACCCACCTAGTCTTCTGAGTGTTTCCCAGGCATGCCCAAAACATGTATTAGAAGAGGATTCCAACTCCTACTCCCAACCAGGTGGACTCTATCTTCTCTGCTTACTACCTTAGTCTCCCACCATGTGAAAAGATTATAACAACTATCAATCACTTGTTACATTTATGGGCTCTTCAGTGACTTTTAGTTGGCAGCTAGATGAATCTCTACTAGATACCTCACAGCCTGGTCATTGCAAGGCCAGTGGCCAGGTGCTGTTTCAACATCTCCTCCAGCGTGTTTTTCAGCCATCCTTTGACGTATTCTGGCGTCTTCTCCAAACAGCATAATGGCTCACTTTGCAAATGTGCCCCTCATAGGATGACCTCCCTAAGCAGCAGTGTGCTGGGGCACAGCTTTAAACAGAGATTGCTAAATATTCACTATGGGCATTTACATCTCTGAAATTGGCAGTTTCAACAAATCAGGGCTTGATTTATTGTTTTGTTTAATTATTTGTTTCATTGGTTGTCTAGACATACTTTTTTTTTTCCTGGACAGGGCAGTTGTGAAACATCATTACCTAGCACACCCCTGCATTGCTCTATAAACTTTATTTGAACTCTGCAGGGGTGCAATAGGAGGCTCAGAGAAGGAAGTCATCATCAGAAAGAATACCTGGTGACTGGAGGCTAACAGGAACAACAATAATAATTGACATTTATATAGTGATTTAAGGTTTGCCAAGTGCTTTACATCCTTTATCTTATTTGGGCCTTATAACACTCCTGGACCTAAGGCAAAATGCTTTTATGTTAACCACCCCAGGCAATTCACCTACACACTTTCCAGTTTTCTCTGGCTAGTAATGAAATGCAGAAGGGGAATTCCTCTCCCCCAAAATGGAGACCACATTTGAAATATTGTAGAATCTGGGAAGTTCTGGAAATTCTTCGTAGTTCAGTATATTTGGGGAATGGAGTTTTCTGGCTAATCTGAATGTCACCCTATGTGGATTATTGATTTTCTCAGAATTAGAGACAGCAAAATATCTTTTTATGAAATTGGTGTTAGGAAACACAAAATAAGGATCTGAGAGTCTTGAGAAAGTAAGAAAAAAAGGGGAAGAGAGGAAAGGAGTTGAGTTAGATTGATGTGGTTAAAAGGGGAAAGAAGCGAAACTGGGCCCAGCCAAGAAAAGAAAGCCTTCTCAGGGCAGAAACTTTATTTAGTCAGCCCCTTCTGCCTCCTTCCCTCATCCCCACTGCACTAATGAAACCCAACCTATTTTACCCATAAAGGTGTCCGCTGCCATTTAAGAAGTCCTTTTGCCCTAACCAGTCTTCCTTGATGGTGCCTCAAATTTCAAAATTAGAAACAGACCCCGTAAAGGGGAATTCAAAATGGAAGCAACAACAGGAATGAAATGCCTCCATACTAAAAGTGTGTTTTATCAAGGAATGTTAACATCAGTCCCTCAACCAACAAGGGTCTTTCTTATTTTGATAAGGCAGGGCCAGATTTAGGGAAAGGTCAACCAACTCAAAGAAGAAAAAGTCTACAGAACAGGGAAACTGGGAAGAGTCAGAGAGAAACTTTCTGATTTCACAATCTTGCCTAGGGCTGGCCCTATTTGCCTATAGTCCTGCCGCAACAAAGACTAGCTGTGCACAGAGGTATTTTTGTCATGTATGGCCTTGTACGGCCGCTGGCCCATTAGTACATCTAGTGGGAACACTGCCACAGAAACCTGACTCAGAAGGCCCCTGTTTCCTTGTAAAGGAGGTTTGTTCCCAAAGGATTTGTTAATGGAAGTAGCAGGAAAAAATAAGCTTAACATGAGAAAGAGTAACTATCATGGAAAGGAAGGCTCTTTGTATAGTTTGGGAAACTCATTGTATTGGGGTTGTAGGTATTAGGCTAATAAACTTTAATGGGGGAAGGGAAGGTCAGAGACATCCAGATCTAGGATTTCTTTAATGTAGGAAGCTTTCTCTACATATGCTGATTAGCAACCACACCCAAAAACTTACAGAGAGATGCCTAGGGCATGGAGAGATGATGTGATTTGCCTATGGTCACTCAGCTAGGATGTGATGGAGGCAGGACTTGAACCCAGATCTTCTAGAAAGATCTTTGATCTATAGTTGGTAGGGATATCAGAGACCATCTAGTCTGACTACTAAAAAATTTTTTTCCCAATTACATGTAAAAACAATTTTTAACATTCATTTTTTAAAAATTTAAGTTCCAAATTCTCTCCTTCCTCTCTCTCTCCTCCCTGAGATAAGCAATTTGATACAGGTTATCTGTGTGCAATCACAGAAAACATATTTCCATATCAGTTATGTTGCAAAAGAAAATACACAAAAAACCCCAAGAAAAATAAAGAAAGTTTAAAAAAGTATGCTTCAATCTACATTCAGACTCCCTAAGTTCTTTCTCTGGAGGTGGATAGAATTTTTCATCATAGGTCCATCAGAAGAACTATCTTGGATTGCTGAGGATAGCTAAGTCATTCACAGTTGATCATTGTACAATATTGTTGTTACTATGTACAATGTTCTCCTGGTTCTGCTCACTTTACTTTGTATCAGTTCATGTAAATTCTCCAAGGTTTCATCCTGCTTGTCATTTCGTATAGCACAATACTATTCCATCACAATCATATACCACAACTTGTTCAGCCATTCCCCAATTGAAAAGTATCACCTCAATTTCCAATTTTTTGCCACCATAAAAAGAGCTGCTATAAATATTTTTGTACATATAGGTCCTTTTTCCTTTTTTTTAAGTCTCTTTGGGATACAGACCTAGTAGTGGTGTCGCTGGGTCACAGGATATATGTGTGTGTGTGTGTGTGTGTGTTACAGTTTAGCCATAGTTCCAAATTTCTCTCCAGAATGGAGTCATTTTCCTTTTTTTATCATATTAGCCAATCCAATGGGTGTGAAGTGATACCCCAGAGTTGTTTTAATTTGCATTTCTCTAATCAATAGTGATTTAGAGCCTTTTTTCACATGACTATAGATAGATAGCTTTGTTTTCTTCTTTTGAAAACTGTCTGTTCATATCCTCTGACAATCATTTACCAATTGGGGAATGACTTGTAGTCTTACAAATTTGACTCAGTTCTTTTAGTTTAGTCATTTTACACATGAGGAAACTGAGGCCCTGGGAGGTTAAATGTTTTGTAGTAAGAACCAGAGACAGAATGTCTTTCTCCCTCCAAGGTGAGTTCTCTATTCTGTGCTACCCTTTAGACTTTAATTATATGTGATATTTCTTTTTATCTCCTCTCCCACTTTGGGGGAGAGTGAAGGAAGCTATCTAGAGAGCTTATCTGATGATCGGGATAGCCCAAACTTGCCAACCATACTCCTTGTGCTAGAGGCTTTCACAAGATATGAAGGGCCCTAGCAGCCTGTAAGGGATTTCTCACCTAATTATCCCTATCTAGAAAATCTGAGAACTTCAGTAAATGTTATTAACCAGTGTGTTGTCATTAGCTCCACTTGCAAGCCTATATGCACAATATTCAAGAAGGAAGATGATTTATTTTACAGGTCAAAGAAATAAATAAAAGTCCTCACAGAGATCATGGAAAATATTGTGACCTGCCCAAGAACAACTCTTCCTCAGAGACCTGTATAGCTTCAGTCATTTATAATCCTGCATTAAGTAGGGCTCCCAGCAGTTGGTGCCTTTTGTATCACCTGCAACTTCCAGTCAGGTGACCTTTGCTTCCCCTGGAGCTCCCTGCCATCTGTGGGTCATCTTCCAGTTGATGTCTGCCAGCCACGTAACTCCTATGGATAGCCTCTGCCTGCAGTTTCCCACCGCTCCCAGGTGATGTGGCTAGCCCTCTGTCTGGTGAAAAAGTTTCTCTTCTTGACATGAGGCCAGTCATAGCAGGGCAGAGATGGGTAGCTCAATTTCCATGTGTTGCCTCCACTCTGAATTGTAATACAGTTCCCATGAACTTATGGCCTCACATAAAAGTTTGCCCAAGATCCAGGGACAAAAATCTATTCCTCTCATCTTCAGGCAGATCTTTGTTAAAGACACTAAGTAGGGTCAGGGTAAATCAGCAGTCTGGTGTTTTGTGTTCTATGACATCCAGGTGATATATTTCTCATCTACTGGCACTTCCCATAGATCTAAAAACTTAACAAAACACCCCAGTTTTCTAAAAAATCTCTCTTGGGCCTCACAAGTCCCTCCAAGCGGGGATTTTTAACATGCGGTCCATGGAACCCCAAGGGACTTGAATGGGGAAAAAATTTACATCTTTATTTAGATTCACTAGCCTCTAAGTGAAATTTAGTATTTACTTTAATTATGATGGTTTAATTTTTTTTAAAAAACCCAT